ATTCAGCTATCCAGCTAGTATATTGAAATCGCTTGTGAGACAGCTGGGTTGCTTATGGGTGTCAACTGGCACATTTCGTGTGAATTTCGGCTTTCTCCCCCGATAATTCGCCTAGTTTTGCTAGGAACTGGCGCATTCAAAGTCTCTATTTGGTGAAAACGAGGGCGCAAGCGTTTTAAAGTTATTTCAAATAACTGTAGAAGGTCTACAGAAAAAGGGCAGCTCGTAAGAGGCTGACTAGCGAAGGGAAGGTTGCAAGTGAAGAGGCTCATAGAACAGAGGCACAAGTCTAAGCACATTTTATACGTCTACCATTTTAAAAGTAAGAGTAAACAGATAGGAAATGGAAAGTACGTTGGGATTCCGACGGACAGTGTTACAAGAAATATAGATGAACCTAGTCCTATTGTGTTCCAGCAATAACTCGATACCTAGAAACGAAAGGAAAATCCCAGTTTTACTTAGCCCCCACTCATTCCACTTGCACGAAGATGCACCCTATTCCTGTGGGCTTTGTTTTTCAGCTAGCCAAAAGTCCGGTGCTCCGGCCGTGCCCGCCTCGGCCGTAGACTGTGGAGAATAGCGTCCTTCAATTCGCTTAGGCCAGTAGACGGATGTTTTCGGGTTTTCGAGCAGTAAACACAAAACAATCGAGTATGATGTTGAATTTAACACTCCCGACACATGCTACCTTATCGTTACCACCGAAGTTGTTTTCAATCTAGCGGCATCCGTGACCTATACGCTGGCCAGTATTTTGGCAGGATAATGGATCATTTTCGTAGGCAACTGCGGACGCGAAGCCCTCGTCCCTTGTGCTGACCGAATGTATTTTGTTTGACCACTTTGAGCTTCATTGTTTATGCCTGCTACCAATTTCATATGTGAGGTATTTGCCAAACAAATAAAGTTTCAGAACTGGATTCAGGTCTAAACCGTCTAAAATACGGTATGTGTACTTCTGATGGTTTCAAAAAACGACGCATGTGGTACCTCCGTCTGCCAACATAGATCAGAGATCTTGTTTTGAATATTTAATACTGCTGATTAATCTACGAGACTTTTTTGACTCGGAACACTGAAAAAATCAAGAATTCTGCTTCGCGCTGCGTAAAAAATTACGCAAAATTTGACAATCTGAAGTGCTGCTGACATACCAAAAAACCACTTTGTTGTTACTAGATTGTGGAAGTTGGTGTGTGTGGCCAAATGCCTGAACAAGTAAAAGTGAGCAACAAATACAGTCGATCTCCGCCTATTCTCGATTCGGTATTCGCGGGTTCACTTATTCGCAGATTCCTTTCTTTCATAGGGCATACCTGTAATGTCCGTTGCCATTTTCCTTTATTTGAGTTACCACATATACTTTTATGCTAAAAAAGACTTACGAATTTTTAAATATTAATACTAGTGTAAACACAGCAAAATATCAATAAAATTTATTTTTTCCTAAAAAACTTTCGCCAAACAATGTGCAGACTCCAAATAAGAAGTTTCCAGAAAAGGACGCTCAACGTGCGAAGCTGAAATACCCAGACGCAATGGTAGTCCTATATATTGTGTGCTCTGCAAGAAAACAGTAGTACCTGAATACTGAATGAAAGAAAATGTGCGCGTCTGATTACATGGCTAACCTGAGTAATCCTCGTCTTCCTAAGAGCAATGTGTAGAGCTTGTCCGGAGGTCTGAGGACGCCAACATCGGTCGATAGTTTTTATTAGTATACGCACAGCTATGAAGAAGTGAAATAATTGCAGTTCTCAACAGGACTTTAGAATGCGCGGAGACAGCGCAGTGCAGCCAGGAGAGCAAGCGCCAGTACCAGTGAAAGGGCACGACAGCAGCATGAGACTCGGGCAGGCAAAAAATAAACAGACATAGGAAATAGAAAGGGTGAAGCATGAGAGCAGGCGACAGCACGCCGGTTAAAGGCTAGACAAAGTAATAAAAGCAGATAAAAATTCCGAAACTGTAAAACTAACAATCAGACCGAGAGGTACAGTAGGTGGGCTAACTCATGAAATGTCATCCGAAATTTCGAAATACGTTCTCGTTTCGATAAGATTCATTACGTCGGGTTGTAAAACTAATCATTATGCAGCA